AGGTTTAAAATTTCAAATCTCGAATTTTTTTTTATAAATTAATTAATTAACCATATATTTTATTAATTAAATATATTAAAATCACAATTTCATATAATTTGGTCACAAATTTCATATAATTGATTACAAATTACAAATTTTATATGTCATAAATTATTTTACGGTCACAATTCAAAAAATTATAAATCACAATTTGTTCATCGTTCACAAATCAAAAATTGAAACGTCAGAAATTTTATAGGTCACATATTATTTTACGGTCACAAATCAAATATTTTATAGGTCACAAATTATTTCGAAATCACAAATTAAAAATTTTATAGATTACAATTTACTTCATTAGTCACAAATCAAAAAAATTATACATCACAGTTTATCGATAGATCGCATATTTTCAAATTTCTTAGTCACAAATCATTTTTAGTCACAAATTATCAAAATTTAAGGTCACAGATTAATAATGAGTCATAATAAACCAAATAGTTGGTCGCATACACCAAACACTCCACCCCGTCCCAATTCTCCGCCAACACTTGGTCACAAATCAACCAAATAATTGGTCACAAATATTGTCTCGCCCCCACCCCTCCATAACACTACCCAAATCACCACTGTCGCTGCCTGTACCACACCACGAACACCATCGCCCCCTTCACACCACCACCACCACAACAACAAAAAAAACTACCACAACCATCGTCGTCGCCCTCGCCACAGCCACAGTCGTCGCCCCCGCCACAGCCACAGTCACAACTACCACCATCGCCTTCTGCACCACACTACCTACAAAAACCACAGCCGCCTCCCCCGCCACAACACCACCAAAACCACAACCACCTCAAGACAACCAGTACCACCAACATCATCGCCGAACCACTACCACCACCATAGCCAGATCCACCACCACAGCCGCCACCACTCAAAACACCACCACCACACAACCGCCATCACAGCCACCACCACAAAAACCGTAGACCCACTCTACTCCACTCCAAGCAGTGCCACCACCATAATCAACACGAACCGTGCCTCCACCACCACCATCCAGTCATACTCCACAACAAAAAAAAAAGAAAAGAAAAGAAAAGAAAGACAAGAAAAATGCAACACCATCAGTTCTAGTACGACTGAGTGACTACTGCGCACGGCACTGCACAGCGGATCCGGTCAACGTCGCGATGCTTCCCCTGTGAAGATTCGCCGGAGTGAGTGGGTGGGTCTGCTTCGCAAATATTGTCGCAAACTCGCGTCACTTCACTCTCCTTCTAGCCGACGAAATGGATTGAGGGTGGTGCCGGCGGGGAGAGAGATAGAGAGGAGAGAAAATGGGGGTAGCGAGGATAGAGAGAGAGGAAAGAAAATGGGGAAGATGAAATAATTAGGATTTGGATAAATGAAATAGATATACATCTGAGATTTGAAATAAAAAGTATAATTTCTGATATTTGAAATAGAATTTTGAAAACACTGTTTTCGAGTAATTTCCTCTTTTGCAATTGGTTAGGCCTTTTAAAAGTTTGTACCACTTTAGTACATTCAAGAATGTCCTGTACTGGGAAAAATTCAAAACTAAGAGGTTTAGTTTTACCCATTTCAAATTTAGGACATCAAGCTTAAAATTTCAAATTTCAGAATTTTTAAGGTTTAAAATTTCAAATCTCAGATTTTTTTAAATTTTATTTATAAATTAATTGTTTAAACATATATTTTATTAATAAAATATATTAAGGTCACAATTTCTTATAATTTGGTCATAAATTCCATATAATTGATCACAAATTACAAATTTTATTTTACGATCACAATTCAAAAATTTTATAAGTCACAATTTGTTCATCAGTCACAAATCAAAAATTGAAACGTCAGAAATTTTATAGGTCACATATTATTTTACGGTCACAAATCAAAAATTTTATAGGTCACAAATTATTTCGAGATCACAAATTAAATATTTTATAGATCACAATTTACTTCTTTAGTCACGAATCAAAAAAATTATACATCACAGTTTATCGATAGGTCACATATTTTCAAATTTCTTGGTCACAAATTATTTTTTAGTCACAAATTATCAAAATTTAAGGTCACAAATTAATAATGAGTCATAATAAACCAAATAGTCAGTCACATACATCAAACACTCCACCCCCGTCCCGATCCTCCGCTACACTTGGTTACAAATCAACCAAATAATTGGTCACAAATACTATCTTGCCCCCGCCGTCGCCACAACACCACCCAAATCACCACCGTCGCCGCCTGCACCACACCACACCACCAACACCATCGTCCCCTTACACCACCACCACAACAACAACAACAAAAAATGACCACCACCATCGTCGTCGCCCCCGCCACAGCCATAGTCGTCGCCCCCGCCACAACATCATCCCAATTACCACCAAAACCACAGCCACCTCAAGACAACCAGTACTACCACCATCGTCGTCGAACCACCACCACAACCGCCAGATCCACCACCACAGCCGCCACCACACAAAACACCACCACCACACAACCGCCATCACAACCACCACCACAAAAACCGTAAACCCACTCCACTCCACTCGGTGCCACCACCATCATCAACACAAACCGCGCCTCCACCACCCCCATCCAGTCATCCTCTACAAAAAAAAAAAAAAGAAAGACAAGAAAAACGCAACGCCATCAGATCTCGTACGGCTGAGCGACCACCGCGCACGACACTGCACAGCGGATCCGGTCAACGTTTAAGTGAGTAGGTGGGTCTGCTTCGCAAATACCGCCGCAAACTCGCATCGATTTGCGCTCCTTTTGGCTGACAAAATGGATTGAGGGAGGTGCCGGCGGTGTGGTGCCGGTTGTGTGGTGGTGGCGGGGAGAGAGATAGAGAGGAGAGAAAATGGGGAAGATGAAATAATTAGGATTTGGGTAAATGAAATAGATATACAACTGAGATTTGAAATAAAAGTATAATTTTTGAAATTTGAAATTGATTCTCGAATTTCCTCTATTATAAACATAATATGTAAATATTATAAGCCCACTTAAAATAACCATGCACGTATTGTAAACAATATATAAATGGTGCAAAGCAATTAGACGTATTGCCAAATATATACAATGTGGAAATATATTAAACACTAAATTTTATTTGTTTTAAACACGTCTAATTAGAGAATATAAATTGGCACGTGCATTATTGTATTAAGATTATTGGAAAAATTAACTTGTACGAATTATATCCCAATAACATACATTTTACATGTATAAAACTGGATAGAATTTCAACTTACCAAAATTGAATGCGTAAAGTAGAAACGAGAAATGCATGAATATAAATTTGATCGAAGCAAGAATTCGATTTTTTCTTCTTAAGATGACAATTACCCGCATGGGTGCAACGATTATTTGACATTCGACTCTTAAAATACAAAAACAATGTCCCACAATAGGAGCACATCAACTTACATAGACCAACGAACATGTTTTGAACTCTCTTTATATGAAACTTGACTCAAAATAAATGTTAAATTATTTTGAAATAAATATGCATCAACATTATAATGCAATGCTGAATTGAATGAATGAAATTCGAAACACATGAGGTCTATATATATGTTGGAAAGTTGTATCTCAAAAGACACGACTTAGAAAAAGCATGTCTAAAAGGACATGTCTTGTTGGAAAATATATGTCCAAATATCATTTCCAAAAAGACAACCTTCATACCAAATAATTTTATGAAATATTCTATATAGTTTTCCAACTATTTCAAGTATTTAAGCGACTTAAATTTGACTTAGTTTCTCATTCACCGACTACGATTTTCACTTTAATAATCAGATAAAAATTGGTCAAACCAGTTTTGTACACATAATTTCCAACAGAAATTACTAAAAAAGAACTTGTGAAAGATCACATTAATCGGAAATCCATTAACCATGTTTGGCTAATAATCACTTTCTTAATCTTGCACTAGGAAAAGTTAAGAGTAATGCATCAAAGAACTTCAAAAAGTTTTTAATTCGTTTTCCTTGTTTTTTGACAGATTTTTTCATTCAAATCAGCATATCCTTCCAAGTTATTAATTTGGCTTTTTCAAATGAGAAAAAATATTATAATAAAATGATATTTCAAATTTCAAAGTCATTATTGTGCTATTTATCTTTCATTTGTTCTTGTTTCAAAACAAGTGAATGCAATACTTTTAATTAATTGTTCCGCAAGTACCTCGTCGAATCTATTAATTAGTAACCAAATATCCATTCCAGAACAGATTAGTATCTATTAAGAACATAAACACATCAGGTAGGGAAAATTTTAATACAATCTAGAAGAACTAGTCGAATGGTAGAAGAATTAATAAGTTCGTTAGGAATAGTCGTTGTCTGGACATACGAGTCATAGCCGACCGAGAAAAGGAGAAACTATTTTTAGAAGTGACATTGAGAAATTTTTTTAGTACAATCTATGGTAGAAGAATTTATGAGTTTGTTAGGAATCGATAGTCGTTGTCTAGACATACGAGTCATAGCCAACCGGAAAGAGGAGAAACTATTTTTACAAGTGACATGGACAAATTTTTTTAGTATAATCTAGTCCTTTTGTCAGAGCGTCTCTTGATATTACTTTCGAATTTGCTTTGGTCTTAAATACCTACTTGTAATAAACGTGTTCATGACCTTAAAATTAATGTCTACACAGTATCGTGAGTAGTGTGAGACTCGAAATTTAGGTTGTCATAACTTTCCCTCTTCGTGGATTGTCATGCACATAAGAAGCACGGAATTGTCGCTGAAAAAAGGAGAAAAATATTGAGCAATACAAAATCAGCTTATCTCAAAGTTCTTTGCTTAAAATTAATAAGGCTACTATATAGAGCAAAATTTCACAAAGAATTATAAGAAGATGCTTGCGTAAACACAGAAATTTGCAAGCAGGAATTCTGATGAAGCATTATTGTACAACCAACTATAGAAATATATTTTCGTTCATATGAAATCAAGACTAGTAATTTAATACGAACTAAATACAGAAGGACGAGGAGGGACAGGAACTTCAGCAACTCCCTCAAGCATCTGTGTAATTCTTTTCATGGAGGGCCTTATTGAAGGATCCTCTTGAATGCACCAAATTGCCACCATCACTAGCCTTTCTACACTTTTCATGTCATTCCTTGCTTCCTCATCATTTTCCACCATTTTGTTTAGTTTCTTTTTACTGTAGCAGTCATAAGCCCAATCGATTAGAGCCTCCTCTTCTTCTTCCATTGAAAATACGACACTTGACTTACAGCAAATGATCTCAAGTAACATCACTCCAAAGCTATAAACGTCGACTTTCACAGTGATGGACGCTTTCCTGAACCATTCGGGGGCGAAGTAACCTATTGTCCCTCTAATGTGTGTTCGTGCTGCTCGACTTTGCTCAGCCAATAAAAGTTTTGCCAATCCAAAGTCAGAAATCTTAGGCATCAAGAACTCGTGCAGCAGTATGTTTTGAGGCTTCACGTCACAGTGGATTATCTGCGTGCTGCATTCTTCGTGTAAGTACGTTAGACCTCTTGCAATACCGCAAACAATTTGCACCCTTTGGTTCCAATGAGGTCTGGATATCCCAAACAGAAGGGTAGCTAAAGATCCATTACTCATGTATTCATAAACCAAAAGCCTGTTTTCTCCTTCATCACAATAACCAAGTAGAGTGACTAAATTCTTGTGGTGAGTCCGTCCAATTGCATTTACTTCTGTCGTGAATTCTTTTTCTCCGTCTGGTTCAACTTTATTCAGCCTCTTAACAGCAATATATCTCTTCGGAATTGATGGAGTGACACCTTTATAGACCGTCCCAAAAGCTCCCCGGCCTAGTTCCTGCTTGAAACCTCCAGTTGCTTCCTCGAGTTCTTTGTATGTATACCTTCTCACCCCAAATGTAGTTGAATCAAACTGTAAGTTTAGCAACTTCTTGCGATATATGAAGAAAACAGCAATCAATATGGCAAACAACAGAAGAAAATTGAAGAATACAGAACTTCCAAGTAGTACTGATACAACAAGAACTAAAGTAGACCGATCTTTATTTTTTGGGCACGTGTCTGTTATGTTGCCCTTCGGGACCTTGATGAGGGCAATTCTGTTCAAATCTTTGGATTGTCTTCCATTGGAAAGGGGGAACTTTTTCTTCCAGCAATTGTTCCCATTGTAGATAGCAGCTGCACAAAAACAATCTCGAAGGCAAAATTCTTTACACGTAGCCTTGTCTACTTGGGATCCAGTCTGAAGTTCATAATCAGTTAAGGGCCAGTCAGTGTTATTCAACTCCTTGAACTCTATGGAATCCATGTTCAGTTCCCATCCATTTTGCTGGCAACTAGGCAATTGAAAATTTGGTTTGCAGCCTTTAATTATATCAAATGGATCAACGAAAGAATATCCATCCGCGCAGAAGCATTGGGGCTTTCCATTTGAGTTCACACAATAGCTATTATACCCACATGCCCCACTCCCAAGATCTCCCAATATTGCGCTGCACATATCTTCTGGAGTGTTTTGAACGATAGACCAAGACGACTTGCAGCCTTTGGCATCAACAGCATAATTTTTTCTTGGATGATTATAATGCCTGAAAACTCCATCATAATCAATTCTTGCCATGCGGTAGAACTCCTGTGGTGAACCCATGTCATTTTTTGTGATGTTTCGTATGTTTTTGTTCCCTTGTTTTAAGTAGACATAACCAGCCTCGTCGAAAATAAGTTGTGAATCAGTATTCTCACTCATAGTTCCAGTAGCCCAGTAAGCACTACTTTCACGTCCAGTTGGCAAAAATATAGTGTAAAGCACAAGATTTCCATCTTTTTGCAAACTGAGCTGGAATTTTCCCTTGGTATAGTTCGTCTCAGATTGGCGCGAATTAAGATTTCCATCCATGCCTAGGCTCTGGCCTGGCAAGATTGTATCAGTAGGCACTCTGAAGCTCTCCCATATATAATTCGAATCTCCATTTATTAGCACAAAATTCCCCGAATTAAGCATGGCTGCACAGGTGGATCCACCATTATTAACCATCCATATTTGCTGCCCTTGAGGATTGTAGAGGATGAGTTTTCCGTCATTCGTTAACTGAAATTTTGATCCTTCTGGAACTGGGGACTCGTTTTGAGACCAAACAACAGTTTGTTCCGGTATTTTATTGAACCAAATAGATAACAAGTAGAGATCTTCATTGTCAGACGGAGATCGTTGAAGAGGCATAAATCCGAAGGCAAACTCACCTGAAGGCGAGCTCCACGGGCTAGTGTCTCCAGCAGATAACGTAGAGCCCAACTTCACATTGCATTCAGATTGGCCTTTAGCAAAAAGGGCTGAGAATAGAAGAAACACTAATTTGATCAAGAATGAATTGAATTGTAGAACTGGGAAGGCCATTTTCTGGATGAAGATTATGGAAAACTTAATGACGGTACTTAAGCATTTAAATTCCTAAGGACAAGACACGTGTAAGAATTTAACTAGCCAACGTCTAGTCTGTTGACTAATACCAGTTCTCGACGTGTTCATTTTGTGTTTGTACATTCATTTCTTGGAAAAAAAAAAAAGGTGGCGAAAAACCAATTGGTCAAGAATCAAACTACGCAAATACACTCAAGGACAACAATTAAAAATAGGAAAATAGTTAGGCAATATCAATCTACAATTAAAAAAAATATAATAATAATAATAGCCTTCTGTGCTGCCACGCAGCACCTATACCTGCCCCTCGCTTGCAGAGAACGTTTGAGTTGAATTATTCATCGGTTAAACTTGTCAAGTCTACATAATAGTCTTCCTTGTTGAGTGTTGACCACTGCCCCTTGTTTGCGGAGAACGTTTGAGTTGAATTATTCGTCGGTTAAACTTGTCAAGTCTACATAATAGTCTTCCATGAAGTCATATCAGTAAAACAGCCGAATCTCCCTTGGTGCACAGAATTTTTGTTTACAGACATTGTACCGACAACACACATGATGTGGGGTCCACATAAATTTTTTTTTCTCAATAATGTGGGGCCCGACCCCCTGTGAACAAATCCTCTGTACATGAGGATTTGTTCAAAACCGCCACAGCGCTTGTTGTCACTATCAGCGCAGAAATTTCAAATGCATAGTCACAAAAATATTCTGCTAACTTTACTCATATAATCACAACTATCAATTGATAAATTTTCAGCATGGAAAAGTAAGGGTTGAACCATTTCCCTTGAATTCTAGGCCAGCAAAAACCTCTAATAAAGTGCACTTAGTTAAATATTTAAAGCATGATTTCTAAACTAATAAATACCTGACACGTAGGACGATGAATAATACGTGAATGCATAACAAAATCAATTATAAACCCGCCATTAAACGACGATCACATTGTTATGTTTCGTGACTCAAATTCCATGTGATTTAGAAGTCTAATTCATGGAGGAAGCCTAAATAATTTTATTTTAAAAGTTTGGTTTGATAATGAATCAAATTTTATCATGGATTGACAGTTTGATTTGGAAAATGACTTTGAAATAGATACAAAACATGTTCGAAACGTACTGGGACAGAATCGTCCCGATGCCTATCCGAGGAGGAATTTCACCCCTGTTTGATTTTTGACGTGGTTTTGTATTCTACTTCATTCATAACTCTAAGATTTGATTTCTATAAATACTCCACAAGGTGTAGGCTTTTTAGAGATGCAAAATAACAATTAGATCATTATTGTATACATTTGAAACTTGAGAGAACTGTTTAGATTTAGAGTGGGAGAGTCAAGTACTATAAAGACAATTTTAATTTCTTAGTATAATAAGTTCTTTACTTCTTCTACAAAAATCTTAATTGTTGTGTGATCCATTATTTTCATATTACTTACACTATTCTCGTCTTTATTATTTGGCCTGATTTTCAACAAGTGGTATCAAAGTGATTATGTATCTTGGTAGGATTCATAACAAGTGGTATTAGAGATAAGGTTTTTTGGCGATTTCTTGGGAGGTCCAAATTGGTTATTAAAACAAGGTTTGAACAAGGTTGATTGTTTTAGAGATGACAATACGAAATTTGAGATTCGGCTTTTAGTTCGCAGCCGCGGATTTTTATTGTGGCAGATAAAGATGCAAGTGGTTCTTGCTCAATTGGATTCTGATAATACCTATGATTATTAAGGAGAAGCAACGTAATGGTCGGAAAGCCCTATCACAAATACATCTTCATCTTTCTAATCAAATTCCTCAGGTTGTGTTGAGGAAGAAAAATGCTGCTGGGTTGTGGTTAAAATTTGAGCAATTTTGTGTGACAAAGAGCTTAATTAGTAAGTTACGCTTGAAGCAGCGCTTGTACTCTCATCGCTTGACGAAAGGTGGATCTGTAGAAGATCATCTATTGGTGTTCAAGAAAATTGTCGCTGATTTGAAGGCCATGAATGTCAAATATGATGCAGAAGATTTATGGTTGATATTGTTATATTCGTTGCCGTCTTCATATGTGACTTTTAGAGATAACATTATATATAATTAGGATACTCTTACTATTGACGAAGTATATGATGCGCTTATTCTAAGAAAAAGATGAAGCATCTGGTTGTCAATTCTGAGGCCCAAACAGGGGGTCTTGTTCTTCATAAGAGGAAGACATGTGGTCGTGGAAGGGGTAGAGTCAAGGATAGTAATAGTGGTAAAGTCTGTTGGTATTGTAACAACAAAAGGTGTATAAAGATGGCCAGCTATGAGTGGCGGAACAAGTTTACTACCATAGATGAGAGGGAACATCTCGGAATTTTCGGTAGTGTCAATCTTGTAGAAGAAGATAGGGATGGAGATCTTTTGGCAATTACTAAAGGTGACTCCAAAGCTGACAAGGATTGTATTCTTAATTCGACTGTCACTTTTCACATGTGTTTAAACCGGAATTGGTTTTCTTCAAATGAAACAGTTACAAAGGGTTCCATGATGAAGATAAATAATGAGCCTTGTAAAATAATTGAGATTGGTAATGTCAAAATCGATGAAAGGTTAAAACACTTCGCCAGGGTTGATATGTTCAAGGTATAAATAGGAATGTAATCTCTTTGAGTGTTCTTGATTCAAAAGGGTACAAGTATACCGATGGAGGTGGAGTTTTGAAAGTTAGCAAGGATGCCTGGATTGTGTTAAGGGGACGGAGAAAGTCCTGGTTATATGTGTTAGAAAGTTCGGTGGTCACTGTGGATGCAACGCAGCTATAACTTATAGCTCAATAAGCAATAATTTAGGTAGAATTGGTTGTAATCGGGTTGTTCGTAGTGATTCGAACAATAATTCTAGGGAATCTTTTAGTAGCTCAGGTGGAGTTGTGATCTTAATGATCATGTTTCTCGTGATATTTGAGCAATTTTGGCAACTCAGGTGGAGTTGGAATTGTTCCTGGTGATTCGAGCGGGTTTATTAACTCGGTTGGAGTTGGAAGTGAACGAGATGATTCAAGCAAGGATGGTATGCAAAGTAGTTGTACCTGTAAGTAGAGTTTGAATTTAGTTTATAGTTGTTGAGTATGCTCGAGAGGGGCATGGGGTATCCAGAGGTGATATGGTGGAAGAATTGGAGAATAACTTGAAGAGTGAAAACTTAATTCATTTTTTATTGAATTTGTGTCAAGGTGGAGTTTATTATGTTTCATGACTTAAATTTCATGTGATTTGGAAGTTTGATTGATGAAGAAAGTCTAGATAATTTTGGTTTAGAAGTTCGGTTTGATAAGGAATCAAATTTCATCATGTATTAAGAGTTTGATTGGGAAAAGGACTTTGGAATGGATAAAAAAATGGAACGTTTGTGGACAGAACTCGGCATTGGAATGCGGCGTTGCCTGTTCGGGGAGGAATTTCGCCCATGTTTGTTTTTTTACGCGGTTTTGTGTTCTAGTTCATTCATAACTCCACGCGGCTCCTGTTGGGGAGGAATTTCACCCATGTTTGGTTTTTTAAGTGGTTTTGTATTCTAACTCTAAGATTTGGTTCCTATAATTATTCCAAAAGGTGTAGGCTTTTTAGAGACACAAGATAACACTTAGATCATTATTGTATACATTATAAATTTGATAGAATTGTTCAAATTTAGATTGAGAGAATCAATTATTGTAAAGACAATTTTAGTTTCTTAGTATAATAAGTTCTTCTTTTCTTCCCCATAAACTTTGGTTATTGTGTGATCTATTATTTTTACATTGCTTATACTATTATCGTCTCTATTATTTGGCCCAGTTCTCAACAAGTGGTGTCAAAGCGATTATGGTATATTGGTTGGATTCATAACACACCTATTGTGTTTTAAAAAGATCTAATTGCCCCCAAGATCTTGATGGAAATCGATAAATGCTCCTACCCGGGAAGAGAAAGGCATGTAATTTAAATTATCTCCCTCCCTTGAGCATCAAAAAGAGAGTATAGGAAGAGAAAATCCCAGCTAGGTGAGGAATTAATTGATTGTAATTTTGTATTTAGCAAATTAATGTCGTCTATGAGAAAATGAGCAAAGAAAATCATGAATCTATCCATTGAAGTTGAGAAAACCTTGATATATGTAAAAATGAGCAAAGCGAAAGTAAATCCAGAGGATGTGTAAGAGCTGAAGGTTGGAGTAAAGAGATCGGTCTTGATATAGTCGTAGCAATGCAAATTTAGAGCAGCGACGAGAGGATATTATAAAGAAGTTGCAAGAGGATTTGTCCTTAGCTCAATGTCAGGGCTTGCGAAAGAAGAGGTTGGCAACAAAAACCATAGAAGAAATGATAAAAAACCTCAAAGCGTTAAATGGCGGAGCATGCCGCTCTTAGCACAAAAAGAAGGAACCTAAAACGTAAGCCCATCCGATGAGGTACATCTACAAAAAATTTCAAGAAGTCGAGTAATTCAAAATTATAACCTTTTAAATTGAATCTGTAGAAAACAGGGGTGAAAATTTAGGTCCCGAAGAAAATATAGTAATCATTTAGGTAATAATAGCTGAAGAATGTTTTCACCGTATGCTCCTAGACAATGGAAGTGCTTTGAACATTTTATATGAGGAAGTTTTTGATCGAATACAAAGATATAATCACTGAATTTATGTGTTGAAACCTCACTATTTCACTAGAGAAGGCCCAATCCTTCGCAGATAGGCAACTCTGCTAGTGAAAATAGGAGTCCCAAGCATACTAGGGATATATGAATTTTAGTATAAAGGAAAAATCTGTATAAACGAAATCCTCGGGTAGCTTGCCATGAAACAAGCAAACATAATAGTTTTCCTCCATCAATCGTATGTGTGGTTCTCCATGAATAAAGGCAGAGTGTCTTTATCCTACGAAGAAACATGAAAGAAATACAAGAGGAAAAGCCATGCGAGCTCCTGAGGAAAACACAATTGTTATATTTAAGATGAGTAATATAGGGAAGAA